GTACTGGAAAAAAGTTTCACTGGTACAACAATTAAACTAACCAGTTGATCTACTGGAAGTTAGCTGACGTGAGCTTTCCGTGTTGACCGTATGAGGAAACTCAACGTAGTAGAACCACGCTATAGTTATGTGATAGGTGCAGCATTAACAGGTTGACAGTTCAACCAAGGTAGGACCACGCTCTCAGAGAACACCAGCATTTAAGCTATTTCAACAGCAGAGTAATACAGCGGCGTATTGTGAGTGTAGAGAACCGGAGACCCTTTTTACTGGTAATGCGGCATTGAATATCTTAAGGCTTGCGAAGGATAGACGTAATGAATACCTAGACCAGCGACGGACAACAGAGTCGAACATGATCAGATCAGAGTCATCTGATGCTACGATTGCTGATCCAGCTGTCAAGGGATCAAGGAAAGGGAGGGGATTATGGGAAATCAATCCCACAATAAGAGTGCTTTATTCCAGCTGGGCTAGAACGACTGGACTTACAGTCCTAGTATACCTTTAGAGGCCGATAAAGAAAGAACAAATATTCCTTTAATGTGTCTTTGTAAACACGCAATCGTTTAGAAAACGTTGGAATAAAACGTTTTACTAATTCAATAATCGAACATAAAGATATGCGAGTGAACTGAGAGAAAGCGGCGCATGCGCACGCGGAAGCGACTCTGGACCCGACTGATAAATTCAAGCGCGCGGTGCCGGAAACACGGTCCAGAGTCCGAAGGCATTGCTGCATTTCCTAGAACACGGTACGCTAAAAAATTGTGAATGCACAAGTTCCATAGGTATACCGTTATCGTTACATCCTATTACCACAGCTGCACATAGGCCCGCACATAGTTGCCACGTTTAGCAAGCGGATTTGCAACCGCATTTTTTTAGTCATTATTAGGGAGACGCTGCGGCCCAACTCCTGATTTGTTTCCCTCCGTCGCTTCTCACGACACCCACGGGATGATATGGGGTAGCGGATATTCTTACACTGCCACTACGCGGTCAAATAATATATCAGAATAAAAAGTTTGAATTTATTGAATATACGCGACCAGCCTCGGCTTTGTCTGAGTAGGTTACTTAGTTAAGATAATGATTTAAAGACCAATTAATAGTTTTCAGTTTTTTGTATAGAATAGCCTGGATTATTACTGGCATTACTCTCTATCTGTCGTAAGTTTTTAGTACAATCAGTTCAGCCATTACTAAGATTAGCACAGACGGACAGACAGACAAACAAACACTTAAATTTTATTTTTATGTATATATTTAATGTACATGGAAAACAACTTTGCGTCAGTTGCGTTTTGCGTTAGTGTGTAGTATGTAATGGTGTAGAGATAACAAATAATCAAAATATTTTTTAATCGAATAACCTATTCACTTACTAAACTCTAAATGATGTATACTGAACTTAGAAGGGTGTTAATGACATAACAAAATAAAGAAATCCACAGATAAAAAAAAAGAAAGATAAACTTTTGTTATTGTAACACAGCAATTTCTATAAGACAACCCACGAAGCGGAAATAAAATAAGATATAATTTTATAGGTACTTTAAATAATACTATGATATTATTTACCATAAAGATAACGTACTTCGAGTGAGAGATCAGTGACCGTATTATGTTCTTAAGGTAGGAAAATGTTACTAATTTAGTGTTTGAGCACGCTTAATAAACAATGGTAAGGAGCTAAGATTGACTTTAAGAAAAGAGAAAGTTTTTTGCAAAAGGTAGACGAGTCTAACAAAGGTGGACGAGTATCGCTCTTCGAGGGAAGTACTGCATAAGTGTCTTAAAGCCAGTTAAGGTGTGAGACCGGCAGAACTTGTCGACTAGGCGTAGGAATTTCCCCGTGATAAAAAGCGGTACCGTAAATTTCTATAGTATCAACCCTATGTTGTGCGGCAGTGTATTCATAGTTTTGGTTTGTTCGAGGCGATACGGAACACTATGCGTTATACTGTTATTACGATGGTGTTCAGTGAGAGCGCGGTTCTTCCTCAGTAGATCCATTGGCGCTGTAGCCAGATGTTTCAGCGTGGCTCTACCACATTGTAACCAAAAAGAAAAAGGGTTGTGGCAGATGTACTTACGGTTGTCTGTCATTTTAATATGGTTGTTAAATGCTTGAACTTAAATTCATATATCTCACAGAATACCAGCGTGAAATAGTAGCTTAATGCTGCTGTATTTCGTATGGTGAGTGTAGAGAACCGGAGACCCTTTTTACTGGAAACGAGGCATTCCATCTTAGTCCTCACGGGTGACAACGCATCTGCATTTTGATTCGTAATCGAGGATAGATGTAGATGTCTATGGGCCACAGCAACCACTTACCATCAGGTGGACTGTGTGCTCGTTTGTCACCCTATCCTATAAAAAAAAATTATAACCATTTTACACTATCGGTTAAATTATTAACTGCGACGAGTCGAATAAGTACTGCACAAAAGAAGTGTTTGTATATCCTAGACATAATTGTTCAGGACCTGAATGTTTGTCAATCAAACGCGCATTTGTTGTGTGTAAAATATTTCCATGTTATACGAGAAAATCATAGTAAGGGAGTAACACTTTTTAAGAGAAAAAGAAGTATTTTAAGCTTTTTCACAAAAAATTGTTATCCCAGTAAATCAGTGTTTTTAAAAGAAACCCAATCTTTTACATCGCAGCCTTATTGTTATCACATTAATTAACCGTAACATGTGAAAGTCCGTCTTGATAAGATTTTTATCATTCACTCTCGTCAACTCGTTCCGGTCTTCTCACGGTTGTATTGTTACACAATATTGTTATTTGAATTTTGCAAAATTTTACTACATTATGTATGTAGGTCAATTTTTATTTCTTCCTTACACGCCGACGTAAAAATAGGCATATCTTTTTTCTTTATTAAAATTTAAAACTTATACCATAATGCCGAACAATTACACCTTTCTCAAATTTACACGGTATAGAATAGAATTTTTTTAAATGTAGATTACAAAAATTTAAAAATAATAGTAATAATAACGGCAATGTAGAGTTATTTTTATTATATATATATATATATATATATATATATACATATATATATATATATATATATATATATATATATATATATATATATATATATATATATATATATATATTACATGCATTTTCCTTTCTTTTAATACAAGCAAATCAAGCTAAAAATGCTTGTATTAGGAATGGTTCAAGACAAAAGTTGAATAGCAGATTCGAACCGACAACCTTATTCCCGATAAACTAAATTCGTAGCGTTAACCATAAGACTACTCAAAATGAGAAGCATGTGAGGAGGCCTATGCAGTGGGATCTTTAGAGGTTGTAGCTTTACTTAACTTTAATCCGCCTACCAAGGCTCAGGAGGAGATAAAATAACACATATCGGCATATATATCATTTTTTAAAATCCTCCCTTCTTATTTTTGGGAAAATAATAACATGGATTGACAGCTCCAGCTAAGTTCCCTTGAACACAGTCGAAATCCTTAATTTACCTTGCATCCAAAGTAGGAAGCATATACGGCCACCGGCAGAATCAACTGGGAGAGTAAAAATGGTATGGCGGTACATGCTACCAGAACAGAGGCAACAAAAAAATAAAGTCATATCTACTAAGTACAATGAAAAGACAAACATTGATTAAAAATACTTTTACGGATTTTATCGCGTTGATTTATTTTATTTTTAATTCCCCACGTTTCGGGTGCTTTCCAGCACCCATGGTCACGGGGGACAGTCCTCCAAAGTTCGGCTCGGGTAGTTTTAATCAATGTGTAGTGTTCGCGTAAATATAAGAAATCATTAAGACATAAACTGTTAAATGAAAACAATTAAATGGTAAAATAACTAACATGTGCCATAAATTTAATTTAAATACTAAGTATCAATTGTTTACACATATTATTTCACAAATCAAACTAACGTAACTGTACATTTGTTATATTATAAATTTGCTTACACTTACCCAATATGAAGGGAAGAAGAACCTTAACATTTAGATGATTATCAAACAAACTTATAACAAGCTATTAGCTGTAAATTGCATAACGTATCATCATCATTCATCATTAGCCTTACAAGTATACATAGGCTCCCGTATGGGGGGTGGTTTTGATTTGGTGGATGGAGTGGTGCGATACGTATGCGTTTGGGATTATTTAATACAGAATTGCATTTAGACGAGTTGTGTCTTCACGGTCACTGAGGTCATTGTCAAGCCGCGCGGGATAACATGTACGCCTTGTCTATACGCGCGTAGAAGATGACACATTACATCCTTTAGTCAAATAATGAATAAAGTTTTAACTACTAAGTTTTGTCCTAATAGAACCTTCATAATTCTTGTTAGGAGAAGGGGCAATTTAAACAAAAATCAATTATTAAAATATATTGATAACTTTCTAAATACTTTAAATATACATAAAATTATCTTGTTTACATTGCCTTACAAACAGGGTTTAGCCATAGAAAAACAAAATAAGATACAATTTAAATTGATTAATGATCTCCGGTGTAGGTTAGGCTGCCATCTAAAACGACTCAACCTGGCAACACATAACGCATGCACACTGAGGACTGACGAGAACATCCTGGAGTTAGAAGAAGTGATAGACAAGTTGCGCTGGGATATTATAGAATTATCTGAGGTCTGAAGAGAGTGGGAGGACACGGTAATCCTCCTAATTACCGAGAGGGCGACCATCTGTCCAAACGAGGTGTCGGATTTATCGTCCACAAGTATCTATTCAACGAGGTTGTAAAGATGTGTCGACGAGGGTTGCTTACCTTATACTCAGAATCACCAAACGGTATTCGCTAAAGTCAGAAGAGTACAATCTGTCATTTATCTTGCGTATGTGGACTATGAGAAAACCTTTGATTTCATCGAAATTTGGGTGGTGCTACAGTCTCTGCAGCGGTGCCGGTGGTTCAGTTGACTGTCGGTATATCGAAGTGTTGAAGTATTTTACAGTGGGGCTACGATGGTTATCCAAGTACAGAACCTGAGTAAGAAACCTATCCAACTGCAGAGAGATGTAAGAAGGGGTGACGTAATATCCCCGAAACTCTTCACCGCTGCATTGCAAGACGTTTACTCACTACTGGACTGGAAAAAATACGGTATTAACATCAATGGCGAGTACATCACTCACCTTCAATTTGCCGACGACATAGTCCTTATGGCAGAATCGCTGGAGGACTTAAGCACTATGCTCAATGACCTCAATAGTGCCTTCCAACGGATAGGTCTTAAGATGAACATGGACAAAACAAAGATCATGTTTAATGTCCATTTCACACCTATGCCGGTAGTTGTTGGAAGCACTAAACTCGAAATTGTTGACGATTATGTTTGCCTAGGACAAATAGTCCGACTAGGTAAGTATAACTTCGACGGAGAGGTCAATCGACGGATTCAACTCAGCTGGGCAATGTTTGGGAGATTACGACACATCTTCTCGTCAGGTATAAATATGTACCTCAAACCTCCAAACTAGATTGTAAAACCAGTGCATGTTGCCAGTAGACCTGAGATGTATTCCTTCACTGCTGGCTTTATGAAAAACCTCAAAGTCACTCAGCAAGCTATGGAGAGAAATACTGGAGTTTTTTAGAGGTATCCCAGTAGAACCAGATGGATAGTAAGATAGTAAGTGAAGTGGAATGGACCGGCCATATAATGGGGCAGCAGGCGAAGTGTAGGGCGTCCCCCCACTAGATAATGTGACGACCTTGTAAGATATGATATGAAACACAGAAACACACTCAAAACGCAAACGTACTAAAATGATACGAGACGAGTCCATTTTTTTTGTCCATTTTTTTTTACTACACTAAGATTTCTCTTTAGGGGGGGTAAGATTTGTAGGTGGAGAGGATCATATAGATCATAATTTGAGTCAGGAAGGAGCTGTCACTGTCAGCACAGATTAAAAATACAGTTGGCAAACACAAGTAATAAATCGAACTGTAAACGAAAATTGATTTTAATATTTATTTCTATTATGTTGATATTTTATTTTTTAAACTGTTTACACTGTTATTATTATTGAATCAATTATCTGCTGTGAGTTGTTTTAATGTTTAATTGTTAAAACTCATTCACACTAACCGATTGAAGTAATCGGTTTCCTACTTTATTCGTGACGTTTTTAAGGTTTCTCTTGCTAAATAATATAAAAAACTGGGCAAATTTTTTATATTTTGAAATAGAAAAATATAACTCTTTTTTTAAACGATATATTAACTTATTACAAATTGGGCCCAGAAGGACCCAATTTTTAATAAGTTAAAATATATAAAATCAAAGGAGACGGGGATTCTATCCCCGTCTCCTTTGATCTGCAAAAAGTATAAAAACTTTATTAAACTATGTTTGTATAAAAAGGGTTATTATAATATTATGGAATTTATGGATGATAATAACATTGTGGTCGGTACGAGTATCAAGCTATTTCTAATTTGTTTTGTGTTGTTAAATGTAACATACATGATTATAAACTGTTATTTTGTTAAAAAAAGTCCCGCTGGGTTTCTGCTGTTTCTTCCCAGGACAGAGGTTTTTTTCCGAACCAGAGGTTAATTAAAAAAAGTGACTCACTTATTATTTATAATGTATTTATATTTAATAAAACGTTTCTATTTTAAGTACAACAATAAAGGCTAATTCTTTCTACAACGGCATAGGCACATGCCTTTTATGAGATGATGATAGTTGTGATAATTGTGAGGAGAAGCAAATAGCAAAATTAATGATTTTTTCTTTTTCTCAGGGTTCCATGAAGCAATTGGCGAGACAATAGCGCTGTCCGTCGGTTCACCCCGCCATCTACAAACTCTTGGCCTTGTGCAGAAGTCCATAGATGACACCGCACACGACATCAACTTCCTGTTCACACAGGCGATGGACAAGCTAGCTTTCTTGCCCTTCGCTCTAGTGATGGATAGGTGGCGCTGGGACGTCTTCGCTGGTGATGTCAGGAAAGAACAATACAACTGCCATTGGTGGAGACTAAGGTACGTCTTGTTAAGGGTTTACATACCAAATCCTACCAACTTAGGGACCTTATAAGACCTTTCTTAAGCATATATCTTTTTTTTTATAGAATAGGGTGACAAACGAGCACACAGTCCACCTGATGGTAAGTGGTTGCTGCGGCCCATAGACATCTACATCTATCTTCCATTACAAATCAAAATGCAGATGCGTTGTCACCCGCGAGGACTGAGATGGAATGCCTCATTTCCAGTAACAAGGGTCTCCGGTTCTCTACACTCACCATACGAAATACAGCAGCATTAAGCTACTATTTCACGCTGGTATTCTGTGAGAGCGTGGTCCTTCCCCGGTCGAGCCGACCCATTCGTGCTACAACTATACTACTAATATAACTGCAGCATGGCTCTACCACGTGAAAATCTAATCATAGATTGCTGCTTTTTAAAATAGAATAAGTTTGACAAATGATAGTAAGTGGACGCTGTGGCCTATAAATACCTACTCTACATTTATCCTCAACAAAGAAACAAAATACAGATGCGTTGTCGTCCCTGAGGACTGGAACTGGAATGGAATGTCTCGTTTCTGGTAAAATGAATCTCCGGTTCTCTACACTCATCTTACGAAACACACCAGCATAAAACTGTTATTTTACTCTGTCATTTTGTGAGTGTGGTTCTAACCAGGTCGACCCGTTGGGGCTACAACCATAATATAGCTCCAGCTTGGCTTTACGATGTATATTTAGTATCAAGTTATTTTTTGTCATGGGAAACCCTACAGATAATTTCGTGTATTGGAGCATTGGAAAGTTTATGCCAGACTAAAACCCCGTTATGCCGGCTAAAACCCCACGGTGGTCATCGTCAACGTATATGAGTGGTTTGACTGCTCCGTGCGTCTAGTGAACATCAAGCTTTTTGTAAAGAAATTTTCAGTACCAGTTCAGGTTCAGAAAGTTAACTGCCTGAATTTTCTCTGGTTGTGTATGTTTGCAATCCCATTGGACTTTGAAATTGAGAGAATAGAGCATGCACCTTTGCTTCCGCATACGCTTGGGAAATACAATCCTGTCCTGCTCAAATGGCTAGTCGCCATTGAGGCTGGCTGCTATGACTAAAATTCTCGGGCTCCTCTCTCGCTTTCCTTTTTCGAATTACCTTTAGTGATTACAGTAGTATAGCAGATGTCGGCATGGTGGCGCTGTCGTGGCATGGTGGCGTTGTCTGGTGGTGGCGTTGTCGTGGCATGGTGCAGGTGCTATGTCCACGCTGTATGCATGGCTGCAGCGCGAATGGGTTGGCTTAACGAGTAAGCCAACCATGTTCCTACATTGACGGCTCCGTGGCGCAATGGCTTAGGATTAACAGCGCTGAGGGCCGTACGGAACAAATATTTGTATGGCTTACAAATAATTTTACAGGGTCTGGATGTTTGTTCTTCTGCAATTTGTTTTGTAAACTGCCTTGACGATACAGGAGAATATCTAAGTGTGAGGGTGACGTTTAAGAAAATACTCGTACATAATACTTGCGCAAAATAATAGCACGCTGCTGTGTTTCACATGGTAAGTAATGAGAACCGGAAATCCTTTTTATTGATAGCGTGGCATTTCATTTTTGTCGTTAAGAGTAACAAACAACTAATTTGCATTTTGATTCTTCACAGAGGATAATCTTTTGATCAGCTTTTGAGAAACGTACTCTTCCACATTTTGTCTTGTATTGTGGAGGCGGTTTAAATACCTACATAAATTGCACAAGAACACATATCCAGACCTAAAAACGGGATTCAAACCCACAGCCCTATAGCTCCCAAATACTTTTCCGCTGCGCTACGGAGCTGTCAACTTTCAATGGTTACGCCTATCGGCTACATAATCCACTTCATCATCATCATCATCATCATTACAGCCCTTCACAAGTCCACTGCTGAACATAGGCCTCCCCCAAGTAATGCCACAAAGCACGGTCCTGAGCCACCTGCATCCATCGACTTCCTGCATGTCTTACCAGGTCGTCACTCCATCTAGTGGGGGGTCGCCCTACACTACGCCTACCGGTACGAGGCTGCCACTCGAGAACCTTTCTTCCCCATCGGTTATCGGTTCTTCGAGCTATATGGCCGGCCCATTGCCACTTCAGCTTACTAATCCGTTGGGCTATGTCGGTCACTCTGGTTTTACTGCGGATATCCTCATTTCTGAGTCTATCACGCAGAGAAACTCCGAGCATAGCCCTCTCCATAGCTCGCTGAGCGACCTTAAGCGTCCTCATACGGCCAGCAGTGAAGGACCACGTCTCAGATCCGTAAGTCATCACTGGCAACACGCACTGGTTGTACAATCTAGTTTTTAGAGATTGAGGTATACCTGACGAAAAGATATGCCGTAATTTCCCGAACGCTGCCCAGCCGAGTTGAATCCGTCGATTGACCTCTCGGTCGAAGTTGGACTTACCTAGTCGGACTATTTGTCCCAGGTAAACGTATTCGTCAACAACTTCGAGCATAGTGCTCCCAACAACTACCGGCATAGGTGTGACATGGACATTGAACATGATCTTTGTTTTGTCCATGTTCATCTTAAGACCTATCCGTTGGGAGGCACTATTGAGGTCATTGAGCATAGTGCTTAAGTCCTCCAGCGATTCTGCCATAAGGACTATATCGTCGGCAAATCGAAGGTGAGTGATGTACTCGCCATTGATGTCAATACCGTATCCTTTCCAGTCCAGTAGCTTGAAAACGTCTTCCAATGCAGCGGTGAAGAGTTTCGGGGATATAACGTCACCCTGTCTTACACCTCTCTGCAGTTGGATAGGTTTCGAGCTCTGGTTCTGTACTCGGATAGCCATCGTAGCCCTACTGTACAAACACTTCAGCACTTCGATATACCGACAGTCAACTTGGCACCGCTGAAGGGACTGTAGCACCGCCCAAATTTCGACGGAATCAAAGGCTTTCTCATAGTCCACATACGCCAGGCAAAGTGGCAGATTGTACTCTTCAGTCTTCTGTACAATCTGCCGCAGGGTATGTATGTGGTCTATGGTACTGAAGCCTTTTCGGAAACCGGCTTGTTCGGGAGGCTGGAAGTCGTCAAGTCTGCGTGCGAGACGATTCGTAATGACTCTCGAAAACAGCACGTAGACGCGGCTCAGAAGGGAAATCGGTCTGTAGTTCTTTAAGAGAGCGTTGTCGCCTTTCTTAAAGAACAAGACCACCGCACTTCTGCTCCACGCCTCTGGAGTAGTGCCACCATGGAGGACGGAATTGAAGAGCTTCTGAAGGACTTCAAGTACCGGTGTTCCACCCGCTTTCAGAAGCTCCGCTGTAATTCCATCCTCGCCTGGGGCCCTGCCGTTTTTAAGGTGCTGGAGAGCCATTCTAATCTCGCTTAGACTGACGTCCGGGATATCATCGGAATAGTGTCGGATAAGACTTGCTCTTGGATCGTTACTCACACTTGCGTGTGGCTCCAACGATGATGTGTACAGCTGCCCATAGAACCTCTCAATCTCACTCAAAATCTCAGGTGTCCCGGAAACGATGTTGCCACACTCAGTCTTCAGCCTTGACAGTTGGCTCTTTCTGGCAGACAGATCTCTGGCAAAGACTTTGGAGCCCTGGTTCCGCTCGATCGCTTCTTTAATACGAGAAGTATTAAAGTTGCGTAAGTCTCGCCGTATGCATTTGGAGATCTGTCTGTTCAGTTGCCTGTATGCTGTCAAATCTGTTGACGATTGCAGCCTCATCTCCCGTCTAACAGCCATGAGATTAAGAGTGTGATCGGAGAGTTTTTGTGTTCTTCTGCGGCGGGTCTTGCAGAACTTAGCTCCGACCGCATGGACAGTTTCCACGAGCTTGTCGTTCATATCGTCCACTGCATTGCAATCTTCTAGGCACTGGAAGCGGTTACGTAACTCGAGCTGAAAGGTTTCGGGATTCTGGATTAGAGCACGAGGGGGACGGAGCGTTGACTTCATTAGACGAGACCTCTCCAACTTAACGTTTAGGTTCAGTGTGCCTCTAACCATTCGGTGATCGCTGCCAGTTTTCACCCTTGCGATCACTGAGACATCACTGAACAGTTGGCGTCTGGTCGTCATAATGAAGTCAATCTCATTTTTTGTCGAACCGTCGGGGCTCGACCAGGTCCACTTCCTGTGGGGCCGCTTCTGGAAGAAAGAGTTCATCATAAAGAGTCCCTCTTTCTCCATAAAGTCGGCCAGCTGCTGGCCCCTTCGGTTCCGTTGCCCTACTCCAAATTTCCCTACCTTCAGCTCACCGCTTTCTCTTGTGCCCAGTTTTGCGTTGAAGTCTCCCATCAACACCGTGTAGTAGGTTTTGGAGGAATGTATGGCTCTGGAAATATCCTCATACATTTCCTCCACCTCCTCATCGGGATGTGCCGAGGTTGGTGCGTAAACCTGAATGACCTTCAGCGAATACCGTTTGGTGATTCTGAGTATCAGGTACGCGACCCTCGTCGACACACTCCCAATCTTTACAACGTTGTTGACGAGAGATTTGTGGACGATAAATCCGACACCTCCTTGGGACAGATGGTCGCCCTCCCGGTGATAGAACAAGTTGCCGGACTCGAGGATTGCCGTGTCCTCCCCCTCTCTTCGGACCTCGGATAATCCAATAATATGCCAGCGCAACTTGTCTACCTCTTCTTCCAGCTCCAGTATCTTCTCGTCAGTCCTCAGGGTGCGTGCGTTATATGTTGCCAGGTCGAGTCGTCGTAGGTGGCAACCGAACCTCCACCGGAGATTCTTAGCACCCCTGCCCCGCCGTTACCGTGGTCGCCACCGTAGCCAGGAATAGCGGGGCCGCCGGGGACTGGGGGCCGTCTGTTTGTGTATTTATTCATTGGGGGGTTATTTGCCATAGTTGCCACGCTTGGCGAGCGGGTTGGCAACCGCAGTTTTTTATTACGTCACAGTTGTCATCAGGAAGACGCTGCTGCCCATCTCCTGCCTGTCTCCCTCTGTCGCCTCTTACGACACCC